CCCCAACGACCTCGCCTCAGGGCGGGGGCCCGGAAGATGTCTAAGTCAAGACACGTCCGGCCCTGCGGAGGCCAGGCACGGCGTCGTCACGTTCGGGATTGACGCCGAGTACCCCAAGGAGGAGCTCACCATGATGGATTACACCTGGGTCATCGACCAGGGGAAGAATGCTAATGCCACGAATGACCTCTATGAGAAGACATTGATCGAGTTTTGCACGGAGAAGACAGCCAGCTCGGTCAGGTCGCGAGCGGGCGGGAGGGCGCAAAAAATATTCGAACCACAAGGAAGAATGCGGACCTCAGCAAGAAGACTGGATTGGACTATTTCCTCAAGATCGCCGACGAGAATCCAGGAGCGGACCTGTGGGGAAGCTTACCGTGCACGGCGGTCAGTGCTCTGCAGAACGGCTACGTTGGCCGGGCTGGGTCACAGCACTGGGCCAGGCTCGAGAACAAGCGGCGGAACCTCAAGAAGATGGTAGACAACTTCATCCTGCTTGGCCGACGCGTCGAGGCTAATGGCGGAGACATTCACTTCGAATGGCCCCGGAGCTGTCATGGATGGAATATGTTTCCGCAGCTAATGACGTTCTTGGGCGAAATGGGAATGGAAAAGGCAAATTTCGACGGTTGCCAAGTCGGCGTTACCAGTAGCCACGGCGCGCCCATCTACAAACCATGGACGGTATGGACGAGTAGGAAGAAGCTAGCCACGGTACTGCGAGGTAAACGGTGTCCGGATCCAGAGGGACACGGGCATGCGGACTGTTGTGGACGAGATGCGACTGGATCAGGACGATTTCCGAAACAACTCGCGAAGCTGATCTGGGAAAGCATCGTGGATCCGCCGAACCTTCTAGGCTTCATCGGGGAGTTGAAGACGGAGGAGAAGGCGCTCGCAGGAACCAAGACGGAAATGTACGACACCGAAAAGGAATTATAACTCACAGCCGAGGAGCAGAGTGAGTGGAATCAGCTGGAACCGCTGAAGCAGAATGAGCTGATGAAGGCAGCGATGCGTCTACATCGGAACACGGGTCATCGACCTCCGAGAGTGATGGTCCGAATTCTACGACGACGCGGTGCCACAGCAGAAACCATTGCAGCGGTGAAGCAGATCAAGTGTAGCTCGTGCATCGAGAGCCAAGCGCCGAAACCAAGACCAGAGGCAGTTCTGGAGCCCGCCAGGGATCTCTGGCGAGTGGTCGGAGTAGACGTGAAGGAGATCGTGGGCAAAGACGACATCAAGCGGAAGTACCTTGTGATTGTCGACGAGGCCAGCAAGTTCACTCTAGCTGTGAAGATATTCAGCTGCCCGAGCACTGAGTCCAGAAACTGCGCGACTAAGGAACTGTTGGAAGCTTTTCGAGCGCATTGGTCAGACAGATACGGAATGCCTGCCGTACTGCGTCAAGATCCAGAAGGAGCCTTCGTATCTCATGAATTCTTCGAGAGCATCTCTGGAGAAGGTGTGATACTGGGTCCCTGCGCTACTCAGGCACACTGGCAGAACGGGATAGCCGAAAGAGCCATCAAGACTATCTTCGACTGTGCGAGGTCCCTGCACAAGGATCACGGCACAGACTTGGAGACAGCGGCGCACCAGGCGGCGGAGGCTCACAATACTGTGGAACGAGTCGACGGCTATTGTCCAACGCAGTGGGCATTCGGAAGAGACAAGAACTGGTCCGGGACACTTACCAAAGACGATGACCTGTACATAGTGAAGTGCTCAAACCAAAGCTACATAGAGAATTTGTCCAAACGTGTTCTAGCATCGAAGGTCATTGGAGATTGAATACTCAAGCAACAGCAGGCGAGAGCGGCCGCAGCTAGAGAACATCGTGTGCAGCGATTTGTCCCAGGCATGCTGGTGTGTGTCTGGAGATGCGGCAAGATGGCGAACCACCACGCGCTGGAGAAGACGCATGGAGTTGATCGTGGGAGATGGTTCGGACCCGGTACTGTGCTTGGAGTAGAGACGGTGCAAGCACATGGAGAGAACCTTCGACCCGCTCGGAAAGTGCGGGTGGTCATGGGAGCTCGGCTGTGGCGATGCGCTCCAGAACAACTTCGAGCAGCCAGCCCGCGCGAGGAGGACATCTTCACGGAGGAGAATGGAACACCTTGGACATTTGTCGAAGCGCTGAACCATCTTAACAAGGGCGAGGTGATCAGCGTGGACAAAGAAGACGTGCCGATGTACGAGGAGACGTATGCTCCGGAAGCGACCGCAAGGGCGCCAGACGACAGCGATCTCAAGGACTATTGGACTAAGGAAGAGTTCGAAGGAAGAACAGAATATGTACGTGTGCATCTTCGGAGTCGGACGACCCTGTTTGCTCCTGAAGGATAAAAGGCCTCGATCGAGGGGACGACGATGGAACGTGTCATCGTGGCGAAGTTCGAGGACGAATCCATGGAAACAGTCAGAGACGAGAACTGGAACGCACACCGGCAGACACAGAGATCCTTGAAGGGGCGCTGGACGGGTAAAACATATTTCTTCCCCAGACAAAAGGGCACGGATGATCGGAAAGACGATCCTGCGACGGCCGAGAGAGAAATCATTCCAGATTCCTCAACCTCATCGGCTGGAGCAACGGGGTCGGGGGCGATGCCTCCGAACCGTTCGTTTACCACCAGGACCTGTCCATGAAGGTGATACGACCGAGGCCGTACGAGTTGCCGTCGAGGACCAGGGCGATCCAGACCTGATGGTGGACACCAAGATAGGACCGACCCCCATCACGAACAATGAGGAGAGTGCGAATCCGAACTGGAGGGTTGAATCAGGAAAGAGAAATAAGAATACTGACCTGTTCGAGAAGACGAAAAGGTGGATACGCATGAAGACACCCTACGGACCGCCATTAAGAGCTGTCGGAACGTTCTTTGATGACAAGGCTTCGGACTGGGACCAGCTCGACTGGAGCGATTTTGACCTAAGTGCTTATGCGGCCACGGAGCTGGCCGAGGACATTTCCATACCCGTTGGAACCGAGTTCATCGAGGTAGGTTTCGAAGCAACCGATGGAGAAGCACTTGGCAAACTTTGTCAACAACCTGAACGCTATGTCAGCGAGGCGATAAAGAAGGGCCGGACCGAAGCCAGTGTCAAGCACATGACGAGCGAACAGAAGCTTCTGATGAAGGCGGCGAAGCTTGTCGAAGTGCGCGACTGGATCGCGAACGACGTACTGGAAAGACTTCTGGCACATATTAAACCAAAGACCGAGGACGTGCTCAAGACCAGGTGGGTGCTGACGTGGAAGAAGGACGAGGCGACTGGGAGCAGCCGAGCAAAAGCCAGACTCGTGGTTCTTGGATACCAGGACCCCAGACTTGGTGAAGAACCGGTGGCATCACCAACGATGACGAGACGGGCAAGGAATATGATCTTCCAACTTGCAGCCATGGAGCCCTGGAGACTGAAGAAGGGCGACGTCAAGACAGCTTTCCTACAAGGCAAGGGTCTCCCAGAGGACAAGCCTGTGTTCATAGCAGCGAGGAGCTGGCGGAGGAACTGGGATTACCGCTGGGCGCACTGATGCGACTACGGAAAGCAGTATACGGTCTATGCCAAGCTCCAAAATCATGGTATGAAAGTGTGGATGCACTGATGGAGCAGCTCGGAGGACAACGATGTGTATCGGACCCATGTGTCTGGGCATTCAGCGATCAAGACGGAGTCTTCGGGATCGTAGGTACGCACGTGGACGACTTCCTGATTGCCGGGGGCAACAGCAAGCGATGGTTGGAAATCGAAACAAAGATGCAGAAAGCGTTTCGGTGGACACCCTGGGAAGAAGGAGAGTTCAAGCAGATTGGGCTGATGGTCAGTCAGGACACGCGTGGACGTATTACGATCCACCAGAAGGAACTTGTCGACAACATAAAGGAGATCTAGATTTCCAGCGGGCGAAGAAAGCAGCGAACCGAGAAACTCACGGATAGCGAGATGACCGCATTACGTGGAGCTCTTGGTGAAATCCAGTGGGTAGCTACACAAACACTGCCAAGATACCAAGCGCTGTGCTCGATATTCCAGAGCAGCGGACCGCCGGCGACGGTGGAAACGCTCTTCGGCACAAACAAGTTGATTCGACAGATCAAGCTCGACACCAACTACACGCTGACTTTCGAGCCGTTCGAAGGAAAGGCAGTAGTTGTGGGATGGAGTGACGCAGCTTTGGCAAATCGACCTGATGGACTATCGACTGGAGGTTGCGTCATCGGTATCGCTCCTGAAGAGATCCTAGAAGGAAAGCGCACACCCGTTGGCTGGGTATCTCACCGCAGTGGGAAACTCCAACGCGTTGCAAGGAGCTCGCTGGCAGCAGAAGTGCAGGCGCTGACTGTCGCAGAGGACGAGTTGTTTATGGTACGAATGATGTGGGCAGAATTGAACGGATTCGTGTCGGACGTCGTCGCAGGAACAGCCAGCGCTGGACGAGAACTGAGACCGATTGTCGAAGGAGTTCGAGGGGTACGGGCATGCCTTTGCGTGGACGCGAAGAGCATCTACGACTGCCTCGCCAAGCAGGTTCAGATGCAGAGCCTAGCCGAGAAGCGGACTGCACTTGAGTTGATGGCGTTCGAGCGCTGCATCGAGGAAACTGGCCTGATTGTGCGATGGTGCCACTCGGAGGCCAACCTGAGCGACAGCTTGACGAAGGCTAGTGCCTATGGACCAATTGAACTCTACATGCGTTCTGGTAGCTGGGTCCTTGTCTATGACGAGGAGCAGCTCAGTGCTAAGAAGCGAAAGGAGACGAACAAGAACGATTTTGCCGGCCTCATCCAAGAAACATTCAAAAACGCAGACATATCACTACCTGATGCGGCAGACGGAGGTGAAGAAGACGATGGGGATCAGGTTTGCGGCGAACCCCTTAGACAAAACGTCTGAGTGGAAAAGGACAGGCTGCGCTCTGTTAGGTGGCCCGCTCTTTAGTACATGGTGCCAGATGCCGCAGACGGCGCTGTGGATTTTTCTTAATCGTCAAAAGAACTGTTTGCCAATGAATGGCCCCTTCGACGCCGGTCGCGGTTGCGGAGGCAAGAAACATTTCCGGGGGGCGGCGCGCGGATGGCGCCGCGCCGCCCCCCGGAATTGTTTGGGGGATCCCGGCGACGGCAGCCGTCGATGCGCTCCAGCAGCCTTGCGGCGACGGCGTCGTCCTTGGAGGCGCTCACGAAGCGCTGATGCCAGCCCCGCGTCAAGGGCTTGGCCTGGCTGTCCCGAACAAGCGCTTCCGCCGTGACGCGCAGGCCACGGGCGTCCCAGGCGCGGCGCATGTGGATGTACGTGAAGGGCTTGCCACCCAAGTAGCACAAGAGGTCGTCCCACCTCGCGGGCGGCACCGTGCCCCGCAGATCCTCCGGGTCAGAGCTTGGCTGGGCCTTTGCGGCAGCCTGGCACACCGCCGTCACTCTACCCTTGGCACCAGAGCAGCCGATGATGATAAGGTCGCCAGCTCGGACCGTGAAGAAGCGGCCGGTAGCGGCCCCCCCCGAGACCAACCTCAGGGGGGGGGGGCCTCATCTTCAACAGCGGTTCCAGTAAAACCAGGTTTCGCCAGGGACTCTATTTATTGTCTTTTTTGAAAAAAAAGATAAGTTATATTTTTTTGGATTCCCCAGAGGCCCCCTGCGGGCGAGCTGGAGTGCAGGAGGGTGGCCCCAGGGAGGCCCTGGAAATTAAACAAATAAAATTAGCCTGGCGAAGAACCCAACCATATGCAGTGGTGGATTTCGCAACAGTGAATATCGTATTCGGTGGGGCTCCCTATGGGGCCACGGTCTTCGTGAGGGGTGTGCCGAAATGGCCCGAGGCCGCCATGCGAACCCTGCCACTGGCGCCTTCGATGGAGCTCCCTGTGGGGCCACAGTCCTTGTGAGGAGTGTGCCGAAATGGGGCGGGGCCGCCGTGCGAACCCTGCCACTGGCGCATTCGGTGGGGCTCCCTGTCGGGCCACGGTCCTCGTGAGGGGCGTGCCGAAATAGGGCGGGGCCGCCACGCGGACCCTGCCACTGGCGCATTCGGTGGAGATCTTTATGGGGCCACGATCCTCGTGAGGGGTGTGCCGAACTGGCCCGAGGCCGCCATGCGAACCCTGCCACTGGGGCCTTCGGTGGAGCTCCCTATGGGGCCACGATCCTCGTGAGGGGTGTGCCGAAATGGCCCGAGGCCGCCATGCGAACCCTGCCACTGGGGCCTTCGGTGGAGCTCCCTATGGGGCCACGATCTTCGTGAGGGGTGTGCCGAAATGGCCCGAGGCCGCCATGCGAACCCTGCCACTGGCGCCTTCGGTGGAGCACCCATGGGGCCACGATCCTCGTGACGGGTGTGCCGAAATGGCCCGAGGCCACCATGCGAACCCTGCCACTGGCGCCTTCGGTGGAGCTCCCTATGGGGCCACGATCCTCGTGAGGGGTGTGCCGAAATGGCCCGAGGCCGCCATGCGAACCCTGCCACTGGCGCCTTCGGTGGAGCTCCCTATGGGGCCACGATCCTCGTGAGGGGTGTGCCGAAATGGCCCGAGGCCGCCATGCGAACCCTGCCACTGGGGCCTTCGGTGGAGCTCCCTATGGGGCCACGATCCTCGTGAGGGGTGTGCCGAAATGGCCCGAGGCCGCCATGCGAACCCTGCCACTGGGGCCTTCGGTGGAGCTCCCTATGGGGCCACGATCTTCGTGAGGGGTGTGCCGAAATGGCCCGAGGCCGCCATGCGAACCCTGCCACTGCGGCCTTCGGTGGAGCTCCCTACGGGGCCACGATCCTCGTGAGGGGTGTGCCGAAATGGCCCGAGGCCGCCATGCGAACCCTGCCACTGGCGCCTTCGGTGGAGCTCCTATGGGGCCACGGTCCTCGTGAGGGGTGTGCCGAACTGGCCCGAGGCCGCCGTGCGAACCCTGCCACTGGCGCCTTCGGTGGAGCTCCCTATGGGGTCGCGAAACGCTGTGCTGGGTGTGCCGAAACAGAGACATGCGGAGGGCAGAGGCAAGGATGGGGGAGGAGGGAGGAGGCGGAGGAGGAAGGAAGGAAGGAAGGAGACGCGGGGCACCGTCTCTTCAAAACGAGGACCCAACACCACAGGATGGTTTGTTTTTTATATATAAAAAAACCTGGCGAAGGACCCAGCCATATGCAGTTGTGAGTACCGCAATTGTGAGTATCTTCTTCGGTGGCGCTCCCTACGGGGCCACGAACCGTATGGGGGGTGTGCCGCCGGAACGTGGCGGGGTACACAACGCAGAGGAATACAATAGGTCTGATTACCAGAGGATGAACGCGGGTGAGTCAGAGCGCGAGTGAGTCTGAGTGTGAATGGGTCTGCGCGAGAGTGAGTATATCTGCGTGAATGCGATCATGGCTACGCCTAGTGTAAATGAATATGAATGTGAATGGCTCGAGCATGCCTGTCCGAACACTCGTGACACTGGGCGTGGCCGCCGCAGGCAGCCTCCGCGGGAACCCCGACGGCAGCGCCCGCGCGCCGCGACACCCATGTCGGCACGCCCCTTGCGAGGATAGCGCCCGCTTTCGCCCCTTATTTTCCTTTCTGTTTGCCCGCGCACTCCAAAAATCCAAGGCTGCGGGCGCAGCGCAGCGCGGAGTCCCCGCGACGCGCGCTGGTCGCCCCAGGCGGGGCCCCAGCGACGCGCGCGGGTCGTCCGCTGCGCGGAGCAAAGAGAGCCGGCTAGCTAACTGGCTGGCTGATGGCAGGCAAGGCTCGGACCGCTGGGCAGAGCGACGACGGGCGAACGAGGCGCCAGGCAAAACGCAGCACGGAGTTCCCGCGACGCGCGCTGGTCGCCCTGAGAGGGTCCCAGCGACGCGCGCGGGTCGTCCGCGGCGCGAGGCCAAACAATTAGTCGGGCAGTCGAGAGAAGGCGCGGCTCGGGGAGGACGCTCCACAGGTCAGGCCTCGCGGATAAACTCGGTGAAGCCGAGCTCCCTGGCGAGGGCCGTCGCCTCCCTCCTGCACCGCTTCGTGCGCGCCGCAAACTGCTCCAGCTGCTTCCGCAAGCCCTCCGGCGGCCCTGCCAGGAAGAACTCGATGCGCGGCGCCCGCGCGAGCAGGAGGTCCTCGTGGCGCGTGGCGCGCGAGAGCAGCACATAGAGCTCCAGCCACCAGTCGTCGTCCTCCTTCTTGCCGTTCCCGACCTCGTGGCGGCCGCAGTCCAGGATCACGCCTGGGCGACGTCGGCCGAGGGGCAGTGCGCCGGGCAGCCGACGGCCCAGGGCGAGAGTCCACAGGATCGCGGTCTGGCCGCGGACTGCTCGCGCCCTGGAGGTCTGGCCGTCCCCGGAGCTCCGTTCCCCCGCCCCGTCACCTTCTCGCATGGTGCGCCCCTGGCACGCCACCGTGGTGATGACCCTGCCGTGCGAGAACGGGAAGCCCGTCCGCGTGACCTTGGAGGTGCGGAAGGTGAACGGCTCCGACGTGCGGGGCTCGATGAACACCAGCGGGCCCGCGAGGTCCCCCGTGAGGCTGTCGTCGTGGCGCTTCAGGTCGTCCACGAAGGGCGCGCTCGCGTACTTCTCCATGCGCACCCAGAACCCCAGCGGCAAGCGCTTCAAGTAGATCCTCTTCTCCCCCTCTCTCTCGGCTCTCTCGACGTCGTCCCGATCTCGAGGGTCCACGACTATGTGCACGACTTGCCCCTCGGCATCCTTGACGAGGCCGTTCTTGAGGTCGAGCGCTTCCAGGAGCCGGATCCGCATGCCCACGTGCACCGGGAGCAGCCCGTGCATGCCACCGGTGTTCTTCGGGTTGGCACAGTTCATCATCTTGGCGGCGTCCCTGACGCTCATCGTCGGTGCAGACCTGTCGGCGGCCTGCACAAGGAAGAGGGGCTTCTTCAGAACGTCGGCGTCCCGCTGGGCACGCATGTTCATCCACCGCGCCACGGTGTCCCAGTAGGACCCGATCATGTGGCCGTTCTGGAACCTCTCCTCCCGGAGCCGGCGATCATCGGGTTTCAGCTGCATTGCGTTCCACGTGGCCCGGATGGCCGCAGGGACCTGCTTCCCCGGTTTGCGCAGGAACCCCATGAGATCCCGGAGCTTCGTGTCCTTGAAGCGGTTGGACGCCTGGAGCTCGAAGCACAGCGGCGTGTTGCAGAACATCTTCATCACGGCCTGGTACTCTGGAGCGAGGTTGATGCCCGCCGCCGCCAGTTCCGCGAAGCTGGAGATGAGCGAAACCTTGCCTCCCGTCGGCTTCAGCTGCAGGAAGTCTCCCAGGTGGATCACGATGGGCATCCGGCCGAAGGCTCCGCCGACCTGGTCGTGCTCCCGCTCCTCCGCGCCCCACTCGGCCTTGCGTCCCAGGTAGGACCGGAACGCCAGCATGTTGTACAGGTTGGGCGAGATCATGCTCACCTCCTCCAGGATCAAGCACTTGACCGTCTCCCACGTGTCCTGTAGCGCTTTCAGCCTGCCCCCCGCGGGCATGTCCTTGTTTCCGAAGGACTGCACTCCAATCAGTCCCGCCCTGTGGCAACTGACGGCCTTGTGAGCGTCCGTGGAGATGTTCGCGGCCTGAGACCATTTCGCGCAGACTATTAGCGTGGACTTCGCCTTGCCCGGTTCCACAGGGAACAGCGCGTCCATGGCCGGCAGCACGATCTCCTGCACCGTGGCGGTCTTCCCGCTGCCGCCCTGGCCCAGGAGCAGGAACTGGAACGTCTTCCGCTTCGCGTGCTTGGCCATGCTGCCGTCCTCGATATTCTGCTCCTCGCCCCACACCACGTTGCAAGCGTTTGCGAACGCCGTGACGAACAGGGCCTGGTCGGGCTTCAGAGGGCGGCGCTCCTTCTGCCCGGTGCTCAGGTTGACCACGCCGTCCTCGAATTTCTTGACGAGGCGCTTGACGAGGTCGCTGGGCCGCTGCATCTCCTCCGACGGCTCCCACCGCGCCTGCGCCGCCTCGGCCGGCACCGCGCCAGCGCCCGCTGCCCCGACGTCGTCCCGCGCGGGGATGTCGTCCATGGGCACGTCCGCGTCCTTCGTGCCCCCCTTGGCGAACCGCTTCCGCTGGGTCTCCACCAGGTCCTTCAGCTCGTCTGCGTCGAGGTCGCGCAGGGCCCTGAACGGAGTGAGGACGTTCCCCCTCAGGGCGCGGGCTGCGCGCCGCGGCGCGTCGGCGTCAGTCGGCCCGGGCAGGTCGCCGTTCTCCATCATCGTGGCGGCCTTCTTGAGCTCCTTCACGAAGGCCTGCGTGCGCTCGGCGGTGTCGAAGCGCAAGATCTGCCCGAGCGTCTCGGGGTCGAAGTGATGCTCCAGGACAACGTTGGCGCCCAGCTTCGCGAAGCCGTCCTGAGCGCGGATGCCCTGGGCCTCGACCTGCGCGGCGCCCGCCCCCGAGTCCTCGGCGCCCTCCCGGAACACGGGGGCCTCCGCGACCTGCACGTCGTCCTTCTGCGGCCTCTTCGGCTTCGAAGCCTTCGCCTTGTAGATGCCGTCGAAGTTGGCCGCGGTCTTCGTGGTCTCCAGGGCCAGGTACTCCTGCACCGTCAGCATGCTGTCCAGCCAGTTGCCCAGCTCCGTGCACTGGGCGCACCGGCAAGGAGGCTGCACGTCCTCGCGGCGGTCGCGGCGCTTCTCGCGCAGCGCGGACTCGACCTCCTCCGTGTTCCAGATGCTGGGCGTCGCCCACGACCCGACGTCATTCCTAAGGCACTTCGCCCGGGCCGTCTTCGCCAGTTGCTCCTGGGCGGTGGCGAACGACTCCCAGCCGCGCTGGAACGGGCCCGCGACGCCCTCCCCCGCCGGCTGCGCCTGCCACTCCGGCTCGCCTTCCGGCGCCGCGCACAGGTGCTCGTACGCGCGGAGGTGGCGCAGCTACTTCGTGTCGTTGGGCCCGTCGGCGTCTGGCAGGTGCACTGGCCAGAGCAGCACCGACTTCATGAGGTAGTGTGTCTCCACGTTCGACTCCGCGCTCACGAACTGGAAGCCGTCGGCCTTCGGGATGGGCGGCTCGACGGCCAGCCTCTGCGTCCAGTTGCGCGCCGCCGAGTAGGACGAGTCGAAGGCGATGTCGACGTGCAGGGTGCGACCCCCGCTGCCCTCGGGATCCAGCTCCCCGGCCGGAAGGGCATGCAGCGGCAGTTCCACGCGGTACACCCAGATGCTGTAGACGTACAAGCTCATGTCTCGGACAATAGGGTGGTCTCCGCGGTGCATCCAGTCGTCGTGCTGGCTCAACGCTGCGCCCCTGAACTTGCCCTGCGCGAGGCCCTCGAAAGTCGGCCCCGGAGCCTCAGGCACCTCTTCGGCCTCGCCTTCCCGCATCTTGTTCAACGCCTTCGTCACATCGCGCATCGAGCCGCCGCTGGCGTTCGCGATCTGGAACGCCTGGTGCGCGTACTCGATCGTGTCGAACTCCTCGCCGTCGGGGCTGAAGTACACCGTCTCGCCCTCGCGCGGCACCTCGCGCCACCCCGGCATCGCGACCTGCTGTCCAGTGCCGGGGACCGCGTGCGTGATCGAGGCGGCGGGTGCGCTTTCCGCGGTGTCGGCCTGGCCGTATCGCCTGCGCCAGGACTCCGCGGCGAGGTAGATGGATTTCCGCATGAACACCTTCCAGCAACGGTGCGTCATGAAGGAGAGGTGCCCGAAGAGCATGGGGAAGACCATCTCGCTGCCGCTCTTCCAGGAGGCTCTGCGGAAGCAGGTCTCGAAGCGGGCCAGCACCTCCAGCGTGCGCTTGAAATCCTCCTTGCGCTTTCCTGCGGCGGTCGACTAGGCTTCGTCGCCAGCGCCGCCCGCGGCCTGCGCCTCCCTGTCGTCCCACTGGCTCTTCAGGCGGCGCACGCCGTCGAGGAGCTTGCAGAGCACGTCGTCCATGCTGGGGTTCACCTTCGTGGTGCACGAATTGACGTAGTAGCTCGTGTTGTGGGCGTCCACGAAGGTGGCCAGCGCGTGCCGCTCCAGGTCGCGTTGGAGATCGGCGCGCGCAGCGTCGCCACCGTCCACGGCGGGGCTGTCGCGGTTCGCGAGCTCCCTGAAGATCTCGCGCCAGTCGGTGACTACGACGAGGTCCCACTTCTCCGCGGACGTGGTGTTCAGGTGCTGGAACCATCCCCAGTCCTCCCGAGCACCCACCGAGAAGTCGGCGTAGCGCTGAGGGTAGAGGCCATGCTTGTAGCTCTCGCGGTCCTCCTCGTTCGCCGGCGGTTCCAGCTCGGACGCGTCCATCCACAGGCGCGGGGGCAGCACCCGTCATCATGTCCTGCACGTCCACGTTGCACCGCGCCGAGACGACCGCCGCGTACTTCGTCGAGGTCTCCCCGGGGTGGAGCTGGAAGGTGACGATGCGCCCCGCCATGCCGTAGTCCGTCCCGCGGAAGATGCCGATGCAGCCGCGCAGAGCTTTCCCGCGTGTGCGGAGCCGGCACTCTTGGGAGCCCCCCCCCTTGGGCCACGTACGCAGTGTCACCAAGTTGTAGAAGTTGTGGCGGCAGATCTGCGTGCCGCGCGTCTTGTCGGAATGGTACTTGTAGCAGGAGGGGCTGCAGACGTGGATGCCGCAGCCGATGACAAGCTCGCGCGCGTCGCGGCACATCTCGCGAATCCACTCGTCGCTTGGGAGAGACTCCGCCATGGTGCCCCCGCCGCGGTACCTCGGGAAGATGCCGGAGGCGCTGCTGGAGAGCGGCCGCCGCCAGTGCCCCTTGTTCTCCGCGGCCCTCTGCTCTGTCCACGCCGCATCGCCGTCCACGGCCTCGCCGTCGTTGTTGCGCAGCGGCAGATCGGGGCGAATCGCCCTGTGGTAGTCGTCTACCTTGGGCTCGTATAACCACAGCTACTGCGGCTCCGTCTCGCCTTCGACCCCGAGCTGCTCTGCAGTCACCATCTCCGCGCCCCCGTTGGCTCTGAAGTACCGCTTCTCGTTGGGCCCGAACGGCAGCGGCGGCACCGCGACCCCGCACTTGTTCTCTCCCCCCTGCAGCTGCAAGGGCAGCAGCTCCACGGCGCTCTGCTGGGTGGCGACCACGGCCTGCACCACCTGCCGCATCCACAGGTTCAAGCGCTCCTGGAAGCGCGCCTCGTCGCGCTGCAGCATGTCCAAGAGCACGCGCAGCTGACCCTGCAACAGCCAGATGAGGATGTGCGGGTGCAGCGAGCCGCGGCCCTGAGCCTCGACCGGACCGAAGGCCGCCGCCAGGGGGCCGAACACCGTGGGCACGCCCATGAGGTCGGCCGCCACGCCGTCGGAGATCCAGTGTTCCGAAGCCTTTCGAACTTCTCCTCGCCGCCACCCGACGGTCTCCGGGCGCAGGCCGAGGACGTGGACGAAGAACAGCCTCATCATCAGCTCGAACACCACGGCCTGGCCCACGGGGTCCGCGGCGATGCGCTGCGACATCTCGCTGAACGTGACTTGCTCCGCATCGGTCAGGTCGTTGCCGAAGGTGTACTCCTCCCCCTGCATGATGAGGATCAGGGGCTGCTTGGTGTCTGCCAGATTCGGGGTGACGAACTGGGCGGGCGGGCCGAAGCGCAGGGTATACGCCTCGCCCTCTCCGCGGAGCTCCCGCCTGTGTCCGTGGGACCCGACTTGACTGGCAGTGGCCTGGCCCAGGGTGGCGAAGGCCTTCCGCACCTCGTTCGGGGTGTCCTTGTCCTTGAGGATGCCGTGCAGCGTGGCCTTCCCGCCCGTCTGCTGCGCCCTGAGCTGCACCTCCTCGATCGTCTCCGGCGTGATGTCCGCGCAGGCGCGAGCGGCCCCAAACGCCCCGGGCGTCTTCATGAAGGTGTAGGTGCTGTTGGTCGTCTCCGTGACTCTCCAGAAGGAACATAGCAGGTGCACGTCGTACCAGGAGCTCCGGAAACGACTGATGGGCCTGGCCACGTACTTCTCCTCGTCGGCAGGCACGTCGTGCTCCATCTCCTCCCGCGTGAGAAGATTATTGATGAAGTGCGCCACGCTGAAGCAGAGCCGACCTTCCTTCTGCTTCTGCGGGTCCTCATCTCCGTCCGGGGGGAGCTGGCCGAGGCCCCAGGCGCAGTCCCCGTAGCAGAAGTCCGTGGGCCTGGCAATCGACCAGTACTTCGGATTCCACCAGCTCTCCGCCTTCCTCGAAGTGGGCACCCGAAGCCTCGCCTTTCGCTGGCCGTCGGGGCCGGGCGGTCCCTGCAAGGAGCGCGGGTCGTCCTCGGCGGGAGTCCCCGCGACTCCTGCAGGTCGCGCCGGGTCGCCCACGCCTTCCTCCGCCTGGCAGTTGTTGGTCTCCAGCGCCTGGACACGCCAGTGCAGCTTCGCCATGTCCTCCCCCGGGGAGATCTTCCGACAGCGCGCGTGGAATTCCTGGCAGAGGTCTCGCAGGCGGTGACGCCCGATCTCGTCCAGCTGCAGCGCCCTATCCTCACCTCCCTGGTCCTCGAGCCTGGACATCAGCTCGTTGGCCACCACGCGCCCCGCCTGACTCTCCATCCTCTCGAGCATGCCCTGGAGCGCCGGCAGGGGCGTGAGCTCGCTGACGTCGTCCATGTGGTCCTCAAGGACGGACAGCCACTTGGTCAGCTCCTGCGCGTCCTCGGCGGCCGCGCTCATCTCTGCTTGCGCACCAGTGGTGGCCGACGCGGGCCCCTGCGCCTGCGCGACGTCGTCCAACGCCGCGCCCGTGGGGACATACTTCGCGCAGGCCAGCATGAAGTCGGGCACGCCAGGCTGCGGGGGGAACTGGTCCACGAGGTCCGATCGGTACTGCACGCCCGGATCATTGTACACGTAGTTGTGCTGCTTCAACAACCGCGCCGGGGCGTCGTACTCCGCCTTGTCGACGTGCAGCGCCACCTCCTCCCTCATGGCTCTCAGGGCCCTCTCCTGCTTCTGCTCCTCGGTCAGGGGGATGCCCTCCTCGTCGTCGTCGGCGCCCGCGAAGACGGCCACGAACGTGTCCCTGAGCATGTCGGGCTCCGGCGGGAAGCTCCGCATCGCGTGGTCCACGTTCCCGTTCCCGAACACGATGGCGGTGCCCTGCATGGCGTGCTGCAAGAACTTCTGCCTCCACGACTGCTGCTCCTGCCGGACGGCCTTTTCGGCGCCCTTGCTGGACAGGTAGATCTTCGTGGACGCGACGCGGCCGAGCGCGAGCAGCATCTGGTGCGCGAGAGCGGCCTTCCTGAGCAAAGGGTGGTGGCGGCCCAGCCAGAGGTCGTTCACCAGCGCCATCAGCGGCACCTCGGGGTGATCAGACCACAGGTCTCTCCGGCAATCGTCGCGCACTTTCACTGGCACCTTCCCTTCGAGCGCCTCAGGCGGCACGCGCCTCCTGTGCAGGAGTATCTTCGTGGACGTCGGCGAGCCCTCGCAGTCGTCGTGGGGAAAGTCCACGGCCGACGACATCAGCTCGTCGCGCGGTATGAGGGGCCATCGTTGGTGGTACCACTCGGCCGACAGGCAGTCCGCGAACTGGGCCCGGTCCTTTATTGTGCACTTGTCGCCGACGAGGAACTCCGAGTGGAGGTTCTCGGACCACTGCTGCATGGCGCAGCAGACGCAGGCTTGGAAAGCGCGGGGCTCCCTCGCCTGACACGCCGCCTGAGCGCGGGCTGCCGCCTCCGCCGCGCCGGCCGCCTGCAGGGGGATCTCCTCCGCGGGCCCCCCCTGCCCGATCTTGCCGATGATCCTGCCGATGATCTCCGCGTGGAGCAGCTGCATCTGCACCTCCGGTTCGGGCTTCGGGACGAACGGCTCGTCCACGGGGTCGACGGTGGCGCAGCATTGGGAAATGTGGAACCTGGCAACCACCTGCAGCGATGGCGGGGAGCACCGCCCGACCCCCAGCGCTGTCGATGCCCTTATCGCTGGCGCCGGGAGCGCCAGCGCTAAGGGCACGTCACCGGGGGCTGGGCGCAGTTCCCCGCCGCCCGCTCACCTGGCGCTCCTCGGTCGGCGACGGCTGGTAGGGCCCCAGCTCGCACCGCGCCACATACTGCGACTGGTACCACCGCTGCCCCCCGTGCACTCTGCCCTGGTGCGCCTTGAACGCCTCCCTGTTGGGGAACTCGGCCTCGCACATGCGGCAGGCATAATGCAGAGCAGGCGCGGGGCACTGGAACCACTCAGAGCGATCCCGAAGGCGCGCAGGCATGGCCGAGTGCCGGGGCGGGCCGCGGTTGCAGGGCCTGCGCTGCCACGCATCGGCCAGGTGCGCCCTCAGCGGGTTGCCGTCGTCCTGCGCGCCCGGCCCGTCGCCCACCGCCAAGCGGACCGCGGCCGCCACGGAGTGGGCGCTGTGGGCGGAGTTCAGGCGCTCGTCCAGAAGCTCCGCGACGTGGTGCATGTGCCACTCCCCGCTCTCCAGTCGGCGCGTGGCGTCGGAAATTTCATCCTCCGTCACCCCGAGCGCCTCCCGCAGCCTGCCAGCCAACCTGTCAGGCCGATCGGGGGCGCGCAGGAACGTCGCCCATCGTCTGGCGCAGTCGTCGCCGGCGTAGACGAAGAAGTCCGGGTATTGCTTGAGCAGGTCATCGGCAGCGGCCAGCGGCTCCAGCAAGTGCAAGAGCAGGAAGAGGTCGCCGCACTCCCGGCGCGCGTCGCAGGCCGCCTGCAAACTCTTCGCCTCCCTGCTGCTGCGCAGGACAGGGGCGGCGGCGTTGTTTTGGGCGTCCTGCCTAGACCTGTCGGCGTTGTCGCCCTTGCTCTTCGGCTTCCGCCCCTGCCGGAGCACCTCCTCGGGCTTGCAACCGCGCTTTTGATCCTGCCTCTCCTGCTGCCTCTCCTGCTGCCTCCCAGCGCGGCTCTGCTGCTGCTGCCTCCCAGCGCGGCTCTGCTGCTGCTGCCTCCCAGCGCGGCTCTGCTGCTGCTGCCTCCCAGCGCGGCTCTGCCGCTGCTGCCTCCCGTCGCGGCTCTGCTTCCCGCGGAGGCGGGGCCGCTTCTTCGGGGGCGCGTCGATCCTCGCTGACGCCGCGGGCCGCTTCCGCGCGCCCAGCGCGCCAGCATCGCTGGCGCCGCCCTGCTCGTCTCCGCGCTCTCCGTCGAGGCCAGGACTGTCCTCGCCGCCCGCGTCGACGTCGCCGTCGCCGCCCGCGCCCCCCGCGCCGTCGACGACCGGCCCGGGCGGCCACGGGCACGCCTCGGCGCGGGCCGCCCTGGAGTCCACCTTCTCAAGGAAGATCATGCAAGGTATCTTGCGCTGGGTGCCAGGCGCCCACTGGACCACGTGCGGCCGATCACCCAGGTCGTCTGCAGTGTGCCAGCTCCCGTCCTCCTCGAAGTGGGCCACGAAATGGCCGTGGGGGTCATTCAGGACGTGGGATGGGACGGCTTCCGATCCCTCGGGCTGGATGTACTGCACGTAGGCGCGCAGGCGGTATGCGACGTCTTCCTCCCCCGCCCTCAGAGCCACCTCCGGGAGCTCGCCCCAGTAGGGCGCGATGTCGCAGCCGCCGAGGTAGAGCGCCGTGCTGTCGCCTCGCTCCCACCTCTGTGGCACGTGGACCGCCAGCAACTCGGGCTTCGATCGCAGTCGCCCGCCCATGGAGGCGCCTCGGCGGAGCAGCTCTCGCATATCCAATCTCTGCGCGCCCCCAGCGAGGAAGAAGTCCTGCGGCGACAGGGCGTCGTCGCCGTCGTCTGCCCCGTCCACGAAGGCTGGGAGCCTCATCGTGACCTCCTCGTCGTCGCATCCGGTCTGGAAGAGGCTGGCGAGACCAGGCGCGTCTTCCAGGATGAACGACAGCGCCTCGCGCGCGTCCTCGTACCTCCCCAGCTTGAAGAGGAAGTGCTTCGCGAGGAACGCGTCCACGAAGGCGTGCGGGGACCAGCGGTCCACGCGGACTGGCGCTGGCGCGGCGCCGCCGACGTCCTCCGCGGGCGGCGGCGCCCCGCGCACGCAGGCGGTCGCCAGGGCGCGCAGCTCCTCGAGAGGGGGCCTGACACCCAAGCCGACTGCCCCCCGCCCCCCGCCCCCTCCTTTCCACGCGCCAATCGCCTCCCCCCCCGTGCGGAGGGAAGAACGCCAAAGTCAACAAGGGGCCGTGCTGGAACTAAGCTATCGACGAGATTTCCCCCACCCCGCGTCCTGCACGACCAACGGCTCGCCCTCGCCCTACGCCCCTAGGAGCGCGGCGCGCGCGGCGGGGCAGTGGAGGAGGCGCTGCAGGGGCGCGTTGAGGTAGCAGGTGTTGCATAGGTTAGAGAGGCCCGGGTACGGGTGCTGGCCGCCGCGAGACCGATGCAGGGCAGGCTGCCTCCAACGGTCCTCGTCGTGGACGTCGTTCCCCTCGCACCAATGCTGGTGCAGCATCAGAAGCGCCTGCTCTGCGCGCGCAGCGCGACGGTCATCCTGCTTCGCTGCCTCCGACTGCGCCGCCAGCGCTTCGATGCGCATCTTCAGGCCCCGCGCAGCCGGCGTCGGCCGCGCGGAAATTCTCCACCTGCGCCACTTCTGCGCGAGCTCGTCTTCAAACCCAATCCCGTCATGGGTGCGCAACGGCATGCGGCGGCGCTGCTCGTGCCAAGCCAAGACCTCGCGGAACGCCATGGCAGCTCGATCCTGTCGGCCCCCCGCTGTCCGGGGAGTCGGCCCCTGGCTGCGCACCGACGGGGGAGCCCTCAGGCCGCGCGCGCCCGCGGCAGGGGGGCCTGGCGTCTGTAGAGCCACCTTCACGGGGGCGCCCAGCGTCGGGGGCAAGAGCGGCGACGCCGCCCGCTTCCCCTTCATCCTGCGCCAAACTGGGCCCTCTCGAAGGCGCTGCGGCGTCTGCGGCCATCCCCCGAGACCTGCGCGAGCTCCTGTTTCAAGCGATCGAGCTCCGCGCGCCGATCTGGAGCGCGCTCGATCCGCCTCCGGTCAGCCATGGCCGCGTCCCCTGTGCCCCGCGGGGGCCCATGCAAGTACGACTCCTTTCTCGATATCAGTCGGACCTGGAACTTCGAGCCGGCTGCTCGCGATTGCTGGATAATTCTGACCCTGTATTCGGCTCCGCTCCCCTTCGGGGGCACCTGCGCGGCGCCCGGCCAGCGCGCGGCGGGCGGCGAGCCCACGAATGCCAGAGTCCCCCCGACTCGAGACGGTCGTCCCGCATAGGGAGTCCCGCCCACGAGCGGGGGTCGTCCGTCGAGGGGGCCGCCGGGCGCGCGCCGGAGTCCGCGCTGGCGCCCGCTCGGGCCATCCAGACTACGGACGCTTCGTCGTCCTCGTCGTCATCTGGGGTGGCATCGCAAAATGTCGACGTCCTCGTCGACGTCCTCGTTGTCACCGCCGTCGTTCCGAGCGCGGTGGTGCTTGACTCCAAAACGAGGCCAAGGCCAGATGAGCAAAGACAGAGATGCGCCGCAAGACGCGCAGTTGTGAGTCAGAGAAGGGGGGCACAGGATCAGGGGGGCACAGGATCAGGAGGAGGAAAAGAGAATACTGAGCACAGGGAGGAAAAGAAGAGAGGAGGCAGGAGGATGCAGGAGCGAACAGGAGGGCGCAGGAGGGGGGAGAGACAATAGTTAAGGACGGGGACGGGAGGCGGAGGTGTCAAGTGGAGGTTCCAAGCGAAGGTTGGAAGGTGCTTTGGGGTGTTGTTTTTTGGGGGGGTCTTTGTGTCAAAATTCGCACGGGCCCGAAAAAATCGATGACGTCCTATGGGTTGGAGCAGCCGTGCGTTATGGATGTCCGTCGTTTTTTTTCACGTCGCTATAGGAAACCGCAAAAAAGTGGGAGACCCCCGAGATTCTGCAATGAAAATCTCGGGGGTCTCCCCGCTGCTCCCTCGCAGCAATGTCGTGTCAAATCAATATGACGTTCGCATGAATATCAAAGCGCGCGCCTTTGTCTAGAAATGCGTTTGGCATGGAAAACAACACAAACCAAAGCGGGCAGGCGGTCAGGAGGTGAACGGGCAATGCGCGACTGAAGCTCAACGCGCGGCCCGGCCCCCCCCCCCCAAAAAAAAATAGCAAAAACAAATCCGCGATTGTCTTGTCCTCCTACGCACTCGAAAACTCCCGACGAATTTCCACCCACTCCCGGGCTTTCCTCCCC